ATTTCTTTGCCTCTTAGATTTTTTTTTTATTTAGACAATTTATCCATGTGGACTTATTGAATCTTCCACTACAATGAACCCTGCAAGTTAATATCTATCATCTATCTATTTATTTGTTAGATTTATAGCCTACCTTTCCTAAAGGAGCTCAAGGCTGTATAAGTACAACCTCTAATTTTCCTCCACAAGACCACCATATAGAGGAATGTTGGTCTAGATGAAAATTACTAGCTTGAAATTACCCACTGAGTTTCTGTGGACATGGGTATATTTGAATCTGGATCTTCTAGGTCAGGGGTAGGCAACCTCGGCTCTTTTATGACTCATGGACTTCAACTCCCAGAATTCCTGAGTCAGCTATGCTGAGGGGAAAGGGAGAGTTTCCAAGTTGAGCCATGCTGACTCAGGAATTCTGGGAGTTGAAGTCCATGAGTCATAAAAGAACCGAGGTTGCCTACCCCTGTTCTAGGTACAAGCTCTTAACTACTACAGTACCCTGGCTCTCTATGTTCTTCTATAATTTTAATTGATTGTGCCAGTGAGAAATATAAAATAAAAAACAATATTTTTTTCATAAATTTGGCAATCAATGGTGGAATTCTATGACTTCACAATTATCACACGAAAATCTGTAATGTAAGCAGTAAGCTGTCATTATGTTTTTCAGGTCTACCCAAATGTGTGACTTCCACTGCATGTGCAGTGATTGTCTTAGGGCATAGTTTTGGGATGAAGATAATCATCATCCATCACTCAGATGGATCAAAACAAAGCAATCTCTATCAAAGACATGTGACCGTATGACTTTATTATTTGGTCTCGTATCACTTTATGATAATTGCATCCAAAAGCCAAACATTCTATTAAAATAAAGAAAAATGTTGCACCTTCAAAACACATAAACATTTCAGATTAACCTGATATACACTTTCCTTTCACAGAATTCTGTACAGAAAAGGCTTCTGAATTTGGAGAAAAGCCCAGGCTATTTTAAAATCTGACATCAAAGGCAATACAAGAAATATAGGCAAAATGGGCCCTTCCTCATTAATGGATGATGCCAAACATGAGGATGGACAAAACCAACATCAGCATTTTTTTTTCTACCACATAGAAAAACATGAGTGACATGTGCATCAGGCACAATCTACAATTATCTCACATGTGTTGTGACATCATCATTATACAAATGATGCAAATTATGTAACTTGCATTATGACACAACTCCTGCCAAATCAATCACCAGTCAAAATCATGTCAAATTCACAGAAAATCTTTGGATGGCTTTCAAAAATATTATTAATTTGACTTTGTATTTTTTATTTATTTATGCCCAGAGTTATATGCCACATCCTCCTAGGCTACTTACAATAGAATACTGTAACTAAGCCATCATACAATAACATAAAAATATTACAACAAATAATAAAAATTCACTTGATTATATCAACAAGGTTCGTAGTTGCACAATGCCATAATACGATGTTTATGGTTTCATATGCTGCATAAAGACAATCAATTGTGGCAACAAATTTTATGTAAAACATAGCACAGCACAGCACAGAAACCTAAATTTTTGCCCCAGGTCAACCAAGTGATGCTGTCAAAATTCTTTCCCAATGCCTAGAGATTTGGTATCTGGAGAGAGAAGAATGGGTTTCAGTTCAATCCTGACAAGACGGCATCCAGAAGCAAGTCGCAACCATAGAGGGACTTTGCCCAATTCAACTTTTGAGCGAATAACATCTGTTTCTGGATGAGGAGACCCTACTCATGATTACACAAAGCTTAATCATCTTCCACACCGATTACTGTAGAACAGGGTGGGGAACCTTGGTCCTTTTATGACTTGTGGACTGCAACTTGCATGGGAATTGAAGTCCACAAGTCATAAAAGGGCCAAAGTTTCCCACCCCTGCTGTAGAATGTTCTGCATCATGGGTGCCCACCCCAGCTCCAGCAATGCACCAAATCACGTGACGTGCATTGCTGGAGCTGGGGTGGGCATAGCCTCCATATAATGCAACCGGCCCAAAGGCCAGCAGTTTGACACTCCTGTTCTACATGGAGCTACACTTGGAAGAACATTCAAAAGTTGCAACTGGTTCAGAATGTAATGGGGCAAGCAGTTCTGGGTGTTTCTCTAAAAAACACACTGACTTCCAATGAGCTTCTAGATTGCAATTCAAGATGATGGTTAGTGTCTATATGGCACACAGCCAGGTTACTAGTGGAACTTACTATCTCAGATTGTTTGGCTCACCCCATCAGGATTGACAGGATGGCCATGTTCCTGGTCTCTTTCTTTAAGCAATGCCATCTTCTGAGACTCAGGAGCTATGCTTTCACCACTGTAGCATCTGCTTTGTAGACCAGCATTCCTACAGGGCAGAATGGCTCTGTTGGTCTTTCATAAGAGACTACAGACCTATTTTCCCTCCCTCAGGCATTTGTACCCGGTGTTAGGGAAGATTTGTTACCTTATTGTTTCTTATCAATTACAAAACAGAAACATCTCTTTAGATCTCTGGCATATGATATAGCGATTGACTGTTGTAATTTCTTAATTGATTTGTTTTGCTGTTTTCTGGTTTTAAGTCAGAATCACAGTACTGTAATGAGATGAATAGGCACATATATTGTTTAAATAAACAAATATTGGGCCAATTGTCAGAATTCAGAAAAGTATGTAGTCCTACATATCAATTACAGAAATAATTGACACAATTTTTGATTTGCTTCTCTCCTATGGTTGGCTGGTTAGATTAGATTGAAGCGGCTTCACTTTTTTTTGTTTTGATAGACTTTATTATCTATTCCTTTTATTTTATTTAGTGCCATTTGACTCCAGACAAGCTCTGGGAAATTCACAGTATAAACAAAGAATTCAAGGGATAATATATCCAATTACTTCCAATATCAAATTTAGAAGGGGCCATATCTTTTGGATTCTATTGTTTGTCATTTTAACATCAAAAGGAAAGAAATATGAACTAACATTTACTGTTCACATGGATAGCTGGTTGATTACCTTCTATTTTAAGGGATTCCTCCTTGTCACTCCTTCAGCAGATCAGTTAATTAATACACATGTGTATTATTTATTAATTTGTTGCCCATCTCCACCAGGAGATGTATATTGCTTTTGTTTTAGTATATTTTCAGGTCTACCTTCAGGTGTCAATATCTGGCAATTTCTTTGCATTGATTTCGATATTACTTTGCAGCAATATCAATATTAATGGCTTTTTCATTACCTTTGCCTAATTATGTACCCTGCTGTGTTGAAGTGGATTGCAATTTACACATTCTGTTAGACTGAGGATATATGCTAATCCAGTATATCTGATCAGTACCAAATTTAAAAAGATTGAAAGAGCCATAGAAGTCAAAAGTCCAGATCCTTATCTGAAAAGTTTATTATCAAAATAATGAGAAAATTGAGACAAGGGAGAAAGAAAATAGAAATGACAGCAAGTTAAGATAAACCAAGATAGTTAACTAAGACATGCTTGAAAATCCTGTCACATACCAGGTCACATTAAAAAAAATGTATCTTTTAAAAACAAATGGATTTTAAATAAGTGTAATAGTATTTCAGAAATATTCAATGCTGGAATATTTCTAAAAAAGTCCCAGAATTATAGGATGCAGATTAGTCATGTAAAAACAGAATATATTGTTGTAGAAATATTTTATTTGTACAAATCAAAGGGAGGAAAGCATAATCCAAGCCTATTTCCTGATGGCAAATATACTAAATTTGCATTATATCCCAAGTGAATCAATTTCAAGCACATTTTTTTTAATATTTTGGCTTTTTATGAGGACAATTAGAACCCTATCTTATCTTCTTCTCCCATCTTGTAAGTTACTGAGCCAAACTAAAATGAGTTTTGATCTAAAATATATAGATTAATGGCAACTCAGCATTAGAATGTGCTCTGTAGACAACTACAGTTTTACATTTTAATTAGTTAACTTGCAGCATCACAGTCCTATTTAAGCTTGTTTAATACACTCACTTGACTTGTTTACATAGAAATTAACATAACTTACATTTTGGAAACTTTTCTATACTACTGCTCACTAATCTATACTACTACTTTTCTATACTACTGCTCAAAATCCAGGATTTTGTACCATGCCTATCCCTAATGGCCCCTCTACATGACAATTTTTTATAGTATGAGGGAATAACGTTTCGGTGTCATTTTCTGTAAGCTTTTACGTTAACTCTTAGACTGCGAATGAAGGGTAATTCGTTAAAAAAAGGCCTGATATTGCTCTTGTAAACATCATGCAGACCAGTGCAGAATGAAAAACTTGCACAAAAAAAGTCGGATGTTTGCCAACCCTTGTACCTCGATAAGCTTACCTTCACTCCTTAGCATGTAAAATCTTACTAAGAACTTACTGTACTGTGTGCAGTGGCTGATCTCACCTCTACAAGGCAGAGATCTTAAAAAAAAAAAAAAAAACCCACCAGACTCCCAAGGATGAGGGAGGGGGAGCGAAAGCAACCACGGTGTAAAATACGCTTTCCACGGACCGAACGAGATTGCTTCCACGGGAGTGCAAACCTCTCTCTTCGTTCCTTCTCCGGACAAACCCTAAACCAGTCAGAGCCCATGAAACTTAAAAACAACCTTTGTACGTGATCGCCTAAAAGCAGCCAATTGCAGAAGAGCCTCCTCGAAGGGTAGTAGTATCGTGCACCACGTTCACCTTGATGATGAACGGCGACTCTCCTGTAAGGGCGGATTTTCCACAAGGCCAAACCGAGATTCCCGAAATCTGATCGCGGACACCCCCCTCCACACACACACACCTTTAACCCCCCCCCCCAGCTCTGCCAAGCCCGGTCACGCACCGGTTGCCAAAGGCGATCTCGAGCAGCGACGGCGCTCTCCTCCCACTTTCTCCTCTTTCCCCTCCCCTCGGCTCGGCGCCCTACCTCGCGTCCCACCCATCCTGCCCTTCTCCTCTCCGCTCGGTACCTTCTGTGTGGCAGCTGGAAGAGAGGATGGTGTTCGGAGGTCGGAAGAGGTAAGGCAGGTAGCGGGAAAAGCATTTCATCTTCCAGCGGCAAAGATGTATTTATGCAAAAGTGAGGGGTAAACAGTCCTCTCGATCCATGGGGCTGGGCAGGCGAGGCTACATGATGGATGCATTCTACGGAATCCCGCCAATTGCCGAGCGAGCTAAGTCACCACCTCTGTTGCCGGACCCCATTTTGCCAGCAGCCCCAGCAAACGAACCGCCTCGCATTTCTGCAGGCGTCCAGCGCCAACTCCGAAGCCCCCCTAGCAAGCAAGGCGAGGTTCCTCATTGGCTAAAGCTCCTCCGAGCAGGATTTGCTGACTAAGTCCCTCCCGCTAGTAAAATACACAGAAGCAGCCAGGGACGGCGTGTGATAATCCTGGAAAGCTCTTTCGGTGGGGAAGGTCGGCCCACTGCGCGGGCGTGAAAGAGCCTTGGGAATTGCAACGGCAAGTTTCAGGGCGCCGATGTTGGAGCGAAGTGCGAGGCCGACTTTTAAGGATTGTAACGTCAAGGTTAGCATTGCATATAAAGGGCAAAGTTCCCGCATTGTCAGCTGGACTGGGCGCAACCTCAGCCAAGAGACGGAAAAGAGGAGAACTCTACAATTCGGGAAGGTCGCGTTAAAAGAAAATCAAGGACGATTTATATTCTTGTTACAGTATGCTTTTACTCTGGGGGTTGTTTTTCTTTAGAAATTTAATAGAAGCAAAAGAGAAATTCCTTTTGGACTAAAATCTGTGCTAAAGCTACTTAAAAAAAAAGCTGAATGCAGTTAGTTCAACTAAGTTTGTTCCCAAGAACATGTGCATTGGAGGGGGGCAGTTATTTAGCCTCATCGCTTCAATGTTGCCTTAGGGTTGTTGTTTTTTTCTTTTGGCAGCAAAGCGCAAGTTATGTTGGAAGCATCTTTGTGGGAAGAATCCAGAGAAAGAAATATTTTGGGAAAGGCAGAATATATTTCTCCAAAGAAATAATGGAGATCTTTAAAAGGCAGAAACTTCTCCCTCCCCCCAGCCAGAAAACTCAGCAGAAATCAGCTTTTAGAAATGCTGATGTAATAATCCATTCAGGAAGATTGGGGCCAGGAAGCTAGAAACTATGAGATTAGGAAGACAAAGACCTCTAAAATCTACATACCCCACCCAAACTCTAAAAGACATGACCTTTGGGGACATCATAGGATTAACCCAATACCAAAAGGTCACACTCAGACTCAGGTCAAAGTACATGACACAGGAAATACAAAGCCTCAAACAGAAAAAAAACCTCAAGAGCTCCAGAAGGTATAAAAACCCACCACTCCCAGCAACACACTTCTGTATGACTCTGCCCTTCAATAAAACTACAACCTTCTTTCTAAAGCAGTCTCCATTTTGTTTATTCCCAGCTTGGACTGGACCCTGATGAAGACTTCTTTCTACACTGTTGAATGCCTTTATTTATTTCATCTTCATCCCCTGCTTGTTAGTGAAACAATCGTTAAATCGTCTTTAGTTGTACCAATGAATGTTTTTTTTCATTAGCTGATAGCATCCAAGGATAGTCATAAGGTATGTGATCTCTATACACATTGCTATCCATTTCATGACCCAGTAATGACTGGGATTAGTGAGCCACTTTACCTCCTCTTGCATCCCTGGTCAGCTGCTATCTCTCTAAAAACCTGATAATGGTGCCTTTGTGCCAATGAACTCAGAATTAGCAGCAGTGCAAGAAATTTGGAATAGGTCTCACCAATGGGAGCAGTACATTTCAGGCTGTATGTTTTCTTGATTTAAGGTATTGATTTCAGTAGAGAGGAAAGTTCCTGAGAAATAAATTACTAAGTATTATATCCAGGAATTATAGGATAATAGTGTAATCATCTATCCATGTTTATTTATTTTATTCAATTTCTATGGCTGCCTATCTCACTATGATGATTTTGGGTGGCTAACAGCAGTTTAAAAAACTCAACAGCAAAGTCAAACTGGCATCCAAGGCAAAAAACAACAACAACAGCAGTTAAAATAACCATCTCGTAGACCTTGACAACTTGTCCTCCTTGCTAATGAAAGTCCAGCAGAATTGGAGCCATCTACTGTCTGGGGGAATTATGTTCCACAGGGCAGGTGCCACAACAAAAAAAGCCCACTTCTGGATTCTGCCAGATGATACTCCTTGATTGGTGGGAATCTTACTGTGCCTCCTAGTACAGATGGATAGCAACAGTGAAGGAGAGGGAAGTCTACAAATATCCGTGTTTCCCTGAAAATAAGACCCTGTCTTATATATTTTTTTCCCTCCAAAAGAGGCACTAGATCTTATTTTCAGGGCATGTCTTACCCGCTTACCTCAGGACTGCCGCAGCCAGGCCTTCCACGCCCCGGCACCTGTTGCGTCACAACCCGACTTCTGTGGTCACTCGCAGCAGGATACCACGTGGCATATCATGCCGGTGCCACCACTCACGGCAGAACACCACATGGCACATTGCACAGTGGCGTGGTCCTGCCATGAGCGTCTACCAGCAACTAGAAGAAGTGGGCTACTGGCCACACAGACTCCTGCTGGATGAGGCTGCTGGTGGTGGTGCTGCTGCCGTGAGGCAAGGCAGGTGTCAGGGTGTGGGAAGCCTGGCTGCGGGGGCCCTGAGGTAAGCAGATTCGGGGCTTGATTTTTATGCATGCTCCTCACCCCATTTTGTGCAACCAGACGGTGGGATGGAGTGGGCAGGATCTTAACTAGGGCTTATTTTGGGGCTAGGGCTTATATTAAGCGTAATATAAAAATCAAGCTAGGGCTTATTTTTGGGATAGGTCTTATTTTTGGGGAAACACGAGTAATGGCCCCATGCCACAAAAGGATTTATAAGTCACCACCAGTGCTTTGAATTGCACCCAGAAGCCAAGTGGTAACTAACTCAGTTATTTACACCTTGTTACCATTGTAGCCTTCCCACACAGTCCTGTTTACATCTGTACAGAAGCAAGTCCCATTCTCATAGGTGGAATCGTTATCTCAAATTCACACAGTATACTGAACTTTGTGTCATGAATAATAATTCCATTAAAAGGAAGAAAATATCATCTATCTGTATTAAAAGTTATTCACAATTTCCCTGACAACTTTGCAATATCAATTTAATTTTTATTTAGTATTTCCAGCGTTGAAATGTTGTACAGTATTTGATCAACCAGTTCATATTAAATTAATCTTAGGAAGTTATTTATTCTTTATTGGTTAGCAGTTTAAAACTGGACTTTTAAAGTGGGCCTGTACTGTTACAGCTGCTAATACACATTTTGAACATTTGTGCCTGCAGCATTACTAGCAATGGGACTTTTTTTTTGTATCACAAACCAGAATCATTAGGTTTGAGAAGATTTTGCTGACTTATATATCAGATAGCAGAGACTAATACAATAACATTGAAGGGGACAACAAAGAGCCAGTCTTCCTATGTACTGAAATATGCAGTAGGTTTGGATTGTATTTTTGACCCACTCAATAATGATTTTATTGTTTTAAATTAGCACTCTTAAGTATTATCTAAATATTCTCAATCTGTATATAATTGATAATTCATACCTTCCCCTTGCAATAAATTTTGAAACCATAGCCTGAGAAATCAACAGAACCGCATAATCAGTCTTTTTTCTGTAAATTGTTTAGGTTGAAATTTTAGTTTGTGCTCTCTAATTGCTTTCAGAATTTGCAGTGATGAGGAAAAAAGGCATCCAAAAATATTCAGGCCTGACTTTAGTACCTACATTGCTCAGAGAGAGAAAACAGGAAAAATCCAATCTTTTCACAGGCAATTGCTTTTTCCCACAGGCATATCAAATGTTGAGTGCCTTTATTAATGAACTAAATTAAACAAACATCAAATTCAGTTTGATTTATTCACTTTATCTTCATTATACTATATATACCCCAGGCACTGGCCTAAAATGCAAAATGAACCCATCTGTTTTTCTTTGCTGGGGGTGTACTTTTTATTTTTAATCCCATTCTTTGTAAACCAATTGTAAGCCACCCAGAGACTTCTTTGAGAGTTGGACAGCTATATAAATCAAACTAACAAATAATCAGAACACTAAGTAGGGGAAATGTGCAAAAATTCAGAAGATCCAAAAGGGGTAAATATTTTGTCACAGACCTGTCCCCAACTTTATTCCTATCAGGGCAGGCATTGAACTGACTTCTAGATGCAGCAATAAATTGAAACTGAATTCCAACAAGACAAAAGCACAAGAATAGTGTCTTATTGGTCTGGCAGATGAGTAGGCCTCCAACTCTGAAACAACGACACAATTTGGGGGACTGCTGCCTCTTAAGATCTACATGGCATTGTGGCCCAAAGTATGTTCAATCAATTTTTATCTAGAGCTGCAGTTGCACTTCTTCCTAGATAGGTAGGTGCTGGCTATAGTAATTTCTCATTTGGACAGTGGGAACACATTCCATGTCAGCTTGCCATTAAAGATAATTTGGAAACTGCAACTAATAATATATGCAGCAAGACTTATCGAGAACATTCTTCAAGACTATATAGTAAGTCCTAGCACAATTGCATGGCGTCATTGATTAGGCTTCAAAGTTTTTGTAATAATCTTTAAGGCTGTTAATGGGGAATCATTTTAATACATGAGGAAATGCCTCACCAGTATGTATGGTACCTACCCAACCATTAACATCTTCAGGAGAGAGCCTCTCCAAATCAATGAATTGTACAAGTTGCATTATGCGGGAATATGAAAGAAGGCTTTCTTTCAAGTGTCATCCTATTTTTTGAAATACCCTTTCTCCTTGTGGCCAGGCTACTGTCAACATTATTTATATTTTGGTGTGTAGCATTTACCCTTCTTGCTTCCTGGTATTCAGGATGCTGCTTATAAGCGCTATATGTTTAGAGCTCAAAGCATTGTTAGAGACCCACATACACACACTTTAAGGTCTGTTTCTGTTACTCCCCTCTGGGAGGAGGTTTTGAAGTATTTCTAGCAGGACTACCCGATTCTGTAATAGCTTTGTTCCCTATGCCATCTGTC